ACACTCCAGAGCACACCAGTTCAAATCCTTGTCGCGCTTCACCGGGCCGGATATCCGGTGCGCGTCACGTTTCGCGCAGGCGCAACACGTGTCCCAACTCTCAGTCCGTTCGGTGGCAGCACTATCGTCAACGCATTCTCGTCAGTTCTTCCTTTTCTCTATCTTTTGTTCATGGATTGTGGCAACGTTTGGATCGTGTCACAATGAAGGTAAGAATCTACGAATATCACAGGAATCACACGTTCCACTTACGAAATACAAATCTTTTTTGATGCACCGAAATGTCGGTGTCGCGACGATATTTGCATATTCGTCGAGGCTTTGTGTACCTGCATGTAGCACTGACCGTAAATAAGTATCGGCGTCAGGTGTTGTCAGGTGAAACATGCGGATATCTCGCCGCGTTAATTGCTGCATGACGCGATTAAGAAGTGTCTTTCGTTGTTTTAATTTGTAACTCGCGGAAATGACATCGTATAAAGAAATTATTTTTTTTACTTTATTTTTTGCTGTACTTTGTAGAGAGAGACACCCTAACCTAGTTTAATCCACGGTTGCCAGGTCCCAGCACTGTACAGCTGGGGCCCGAAGGTCTCCGTGCGCTGGAGATTTCATATTTCGACTGGAGACCGGCCGATTGTTTCATTTAAAAAAAAAAGAAAAAGAAAGACAAAGGCGCAGGGTTTAATTCGTGTTTTGCGACCACCATTACAGACTTTCTTTTTGTTATTAATATTTGACCAACATAAAGTATCAATACAATCACAGAGACTTTCTTATTATTATATTACAAGATTTATACAGTATGAACACAATTACAAACTTTTTTATTATTCGTAAAATAAACTGCGAACATAATCACACTCTCTTATTACTTTCCACGTAATTTAAATATGCAATTAATAAATACCCCGCGCGAGCAAAAAACTGGAGATTTTTCCCATCTGCTGGAGACCTAGCAACCATGATCTAATCTTAATTTAGAAGTTCAAAACCCAGTTCTACCAATGTATATTTGAACTATTTATCCATAGCATCCCTTTAACTCCAAATTATTCTCTCACAGTTCAAGTTGAGCTGTGTTCCGTTGCATGCATGATGTGCATGAGCTATCATTTTACCCTTGTTGTTCACAAAGTGTTAAACAGAAGACTTGTTCTTTTTGGCTGAACTTTTGTACCAGTTTATCTTTCTTCCTTTTCTTTCCTCCTGGAGAGAAAAAGAAGAAAGCTGAACTAGTGCAAAAGTTCAGTCAAATAGAATAGGTCTAGAGATAAAATGATACATTATGCGCATCATGCATACAATGGAACGCAGCCTTACACTTCATCTTTTTCTAATTCTTAAAATTAGAAAAAGATGAATAAGTTGGACCAAGATTAAAATTAATCTACTGATGGAAACAGACATTAGACATATTGTATATACAACTCTTCTAATCTATGCATTTGGTTATTGCAGTTGAACGTATCGTATCCTGCAACAGGATGTCAGAAGCTGTTCGAAATTTCAGACGAGCACAAGCTCAGAATCTTCTATGAGAAGCGTATGGGTGCTGAAGTCGATGCCGATGCACTGGGAGATGAATGGAAGGGCTATGTTGTCCGTGTCTCTGGCGGTAATGACAAGCAAGGTTTCCCTATGAAACAGGGTATCCTGACGAATGGTGGGTTCATGATACATTGTTTACATGATACAATTAATATATATAAAAAGTCTGTAAAAGAAATCAAGAACACTTGCAATTTTTTGTATCTACATTCTGGAATTTGATTATGTATCACACAGCTTGAAATAACAGCATACATAAATGAGCGAATTTAATTGAGATGCTTTCCAGCAAGAAACAGATGATACAATATAACAAATTGAATCATATCCTTTGTCAATGTTAAACAAAGATGAAACAGGGATTAACTGTGTTACAATGGACGTTTTCTAGCAAGACTTAGGATCCACCTAATGCTGCAAATGTTTCGTTAACCAATGAGAAAAAAGAATTTTATGAATTGACCAATCAAATAATGCTTCAAAATATTTGCAGCATGAAGTGGATTGCACAGTATAATGCAGTTCATTCTTATTTAATATTAGCAAACAACAAGGATATAATGATTCACTGTGTTACATTGTATCCTTTCTGAAAAGCACCATAGATGTTGATCAATGAAATTATAAATGTTTTAGTAAATTTGCTGATTTTTGTGATTTTTAATCGAACTTCTGACTTAAGTACCAAGGAAATTTTTTTAATACGATATATTATTTGCACAGGACGTGTACGTTTATTGCTTTCCAAAGGCCATTCTTGCTACAGACCACGACGAGATGGTGAGCGCAAGCGCAAATCCGTTCGTGGTTGCATTGTAGACTCCAATTTGTCTGTACTAGCACTTGTCATCATCAGGAAAGGCAAACAGGTAAATGATCATTCGTGGTATATTTTTTCAGATACTAAAGATCCATGCTGTTCAGGGTGTATTCAAGATATTCAATTTTCTTGAGATACAATCGTACACATGGGAGATGAAATTCGTTTTTTGATTTGGGAAACTGCTATGTCATTTGTACTTTTTCTCAGTGTACGAACGAAACATGCTTTTAGCTATTATTAATTTATTCTAAATTTTTTACACAAATATTTTATTATTGCATGGTTCTTTACCACTTGGTGTGATTGACTCGCGATCTGTAGATCCGGGTTCAATCCCATCCGCGCCTACATACGCAATGTTTCGTGTTTAAGGAACCAAAAAGGGCTCCATGTGATAATTAAGAAGAGATTTTTGATTACCAGTGCCATTTGAATTCGGTTAAACTGCAGGTCCCATATATCAGTGGATATATGTATGGATCCCTCAGGCCGGAGGTTAGACATTAGTGACGTCTAACCACTTTCCAGCAAGCGACACAGGCTGTGTTCCAAATTTACTGCCAGCACAGAAAATGCTATAGTTACGTGCACTATAGATTTTCAGTACTGGCAGTCAATTTTGGAACACAGCCACAGTGTGACACAGATCATGTCATCTTTGTTTAACATTAGTAAATAACAAGGATGTAATGATTCACTGTGTTACACTGTGTCATCTGTGTCTCTTGCTGGAAAGCACCCTAGGCTAATAACCTAATTAGTCAGTTTAATACATGACAGATTTCCTACAATAATGTGAATTAATATTATACAATATTATACAAGAATATGAATTGCAGGAAATCCCAGGCTTGACAGATATGAACGTACCGCGTCGTTTGGGACCGAAAAGAGCAAGCAAAATTCGCAAACTGTTTAATCTTTCGAAGAAGGATGATGTTCGGCAGTTTGTAGTAAAACGACCGGTCCAGAAAGAAGGAAAAAAGGAGCGATTTAAGGCACCAAAGATTCAGCGCTTGATCACTCCTATCGTTCTTCAAGTACATAATTTTATAAAAATTCATAGAAATATTAATAGATACATTTTGAAACTATACTAAAATTAAAAACTATACTAAATTAGATGATTTACACTCTTTAAATTAAATAAAATATCAAAACATTTAAATTTAGATTCTTTTTTACTCTAATTCTAATATATTCTAAAACACTTATAAAAAATGTTTACAGAGAAAAAGACACAGACTGGCACTGAAGAAGAAACGCTGTTTGGCTCGCAAAGAGCAAGCGGCGGAGTACGCGAAGTTGCTGGCGCAACGTCAGAAAGAAGCGAAGAATAGGCGCCAAGAAGAATTAAAACGAAGACGCAGCGCTTCTTTACGCGAATCCAAGTCTTCTACTCAAACGGCACCAGCCGCACAACAATAAATCAGTTGGATCCTGAAATGTATTTACACGTCAATAAAAAAAATTTCAACTATCTATAGTCTTCTCTTTTATCATATCAATTTCCAATCGTTATTTTCTGCATAATGGTAAACATTAAATATGAATAAAAAATAATAGAAATATGAATCATTTTTCTAACAAATATTAATTTTCAATTAATTTTCAGTAATTTATCAAAATATTGAGCTATTAAACATATACATTTTAATAATGTGCAGAGTGTTCGTGAACTGATGATACAACCAGGAAGATGATTGTAATGAAAAATCAAATCGGATATATACAACAAAATTTCTTCATCTAAAGCGTTTTTGAGAAAATTGATTTAGAATATTCGTCAAGTACATGTGCAATTTACTGTAGGTCCATTTTTTGTTCTTGCACAAGACTACGCTGAAGCTTTTTTGCTTTCACCAAATACCAGACATAATTTGTATATTTTAACTTTTAGTATCACTTTATTCACTTTAAAATTTCCCGAATGTGCACCAGTTCAATAGAAAATAGGCGTCATGACTCGACATAGATCGTTCTCTATCTCTGCTTGTATTTATGTTTACTAATTATTAAGTAATCAAGGATATATGATAAAAATAAGATGTTCAAGCACAATAAATGTTATCTTATGACTTATTGAAAATATTTCTCATAACTGTCAATACATATAATTCTGTCCGTTGAAATAAATTTCTATAAACGCTTTTGATACTTTAATTTATCAATTAAATCCGTTCTCGGCGAATATTATTTATATTTAAAGTCGATTTTTTCGAAAACAAAGCCTCGTACAAAAAAAATGTTATTTTATGTTTCGACTTATTTTTTCATGTAGAAATTAGAATCTTCTAGAAATCTTCACTATCTTCTCGGTGAATCATCAGTTTACGAACATTAATAATAGCCTTATAATAATAGCTTCTTTACAATATAAGTGGAAAAACGATAATTTTTTTTCTATATCCAATAAATTTTTTTAATGAAAAACGGTTTTATTCTAATTTTATCTTGCTCTCTGCCAATTGGTTGATCTCGATAAAGGACGATACATATACAGCGTATCGTGTCACGTGTCAACAACGTCCATGTCTACAAAGCTTAACGTAATAAAACAAATGACAGTCTGTCTTTGGCCGCCTTAAAACTAGGCGTCTCTGAATCCGTTTATGTCAAATTACGGAATCACAGTGCATGTCATCATGAGTTGACTTTCCAGAGCAGATTATACATTTCCCGTATGCCTCCTCAGGATACAGCAGGATACAACAAATCCTTCCATAAGTATAAACGTGCTATCGTGAATCCTTCTGTTTTAGGATCGAAACCTATACATATAACCAGTGAATTTATAAACACGTATGTATACTCTTGTTTTCTTCTCTTTTTTTCATTTTTTTCTTTTTAAATAATCTGTTTATCGGTATCTTAATCCTTCGACAATATTTATTTCTTTAAGAAAAATTTCAGAAAATTGTACCTTCAATATCAATACATGGCATTCTTAATATATATGATATTTGTAAAAACTTTGTTTCAATAAAATTAATGTGGAATATGACAATATTAATAAAATTAATAATAAATATATATAAATAAATCGTATGCATATAACTCTCCATTAGAAATGTTTAAAGACGGTTGATTTTTTTATTATGAATTCTGATAGATAAATGGAAAAATCTGTAAAAAAATAAGTAAAATACAGTCCAACTTAATTCTTAGTAAGATAGTAAAAACTCATTGTCAAAACTTTCACAAGTATATTAGAATTTTTTCAGATTTTTCTATAATTCGAAACAATATAAAAGTCTACACTGAAGTTTAAAGATCCAGGTTATGAACGTTGAAAATGACGTTTCAAACGTCTACAAAACGTTTTGACATTATCTTTTAATAAGATAGAATACAGAGTTATAATTAAGTCATAATGATATCATAATGTTATTTGTGTTGAAAATGAATTTATATAAGTGATAAATAAGGTCATTGGTCTTCTTATGATATTATTATATCATCTTTTGTGTTTTACTTAGGAAAATATAAAATGTGTATTATATTTAATTATATCTAATTATCATTATAGTTCTCACAAATATTTTTCAATAATTTAAAATACAAAATAAATATTATTAATGCATAACATGACATTTAAGTTATACTATTCTCTTTTCACACTTATGAAATATATGTAAAATCAGTATTTACCTTTAGATTTTTTGAAAAGAAGAAGAGAAGGAAGAAAACAAAAATTTGCGTCAAAACTGAAACAATAATATCTAAAAGCTCCTTTCAATCTAAATATATATACAGAAAGAATAAAAAAAGTGATTAGAAAGAATCTGAGATTTTGAGTCTCTTTGTTCTACATTTAATTTCTTTTTCCAGATAGAAAAATGCCGAAACTCAAGATAGTCACAAGCAACACACACGCTCGGCCGCACTTTGCCAGCCACACGCAATCCTCTTTGATGAAAACACGAACGCCGATGAAACTGAAGAAATTGTCATCGATAAAGAATGAAAATGAATCAAAGAAGTCGCAAAAAAGTGTCATTCCTAAATCGAACAGAATCTACAAGAAACGAAGCAACATCACAAAGCAGAGCAAAAGTATGCAGATGCTGGTAATGATCCTCAAGCAACAGGTAGACCGTCATTCGACCATTTTTCTCCCTGGTAGCGATTTAACAGAAACAACCTGTCAGTTGGAGAATTCATTAATTTCGCTTCAGGACAATTTGATCAAAGATGTGTCTCACAATCTCAAAAATTGCATTGCTAGTCCAGCTAAATTAGCGACTCTTCGTAGCAAACAGACAAAAGTCATGAATGAGTTCGAATCCTCTGCTGAAAATTTGCATGATTCTCAGGATGGAACGAATTGTGCAGGAAGAGATAATTCGGACGACATCCACGATGCTTCTGAAGCTCGTACAGTTATAGACATTACGTGTAAACTTCAGTTGCATTTGAGCGATGAAGAGGAGCCCGCAGACTCGCATAATAAAGTCGAAAACCTCTATCGCAGGACCGAATGTGAGGAAAAACTTGACGACTCTTCGAACAAAAATTGTACCGAAATGCAAGTACATCCACAAACTGTAAACGTCGCGACAAATCGCAAACGCATGGGAAAAACTTGGATGTTTAGAAAAGCCAAGACCCAAAACGAGCACGTTGACGTCGATCGCACTTGTCGTACTGATTTACAAAAGTCCGAAACCACGCAACACGTTGGTACAGTTATGAATAGCGATGCGATTATCCAGAAGAGGGGTGCTCTTCAAAAGACTCTTACTTTTCATCAGCGAGCCTGGAGACCAGCTGGCATCCCAAAAAATTTTACGAAAAGCACAACGTCTTTGCAACCGATGTCGCAAAAGTCATCTCAATCAGCCGAAAAATTTGCCTCGACGAAGAGCAAACATTTGTCAACTGAATGCATTAAGTAATATACTTTTTTTAATATCTTCTATTTACATATAGAACTGCATTTCGCTAGGATGAGGTACAATTTCGAGCATAGGACAGTTCTAAACGAAATAAAGTTTGAATCCAATTTTAAAAGTTTAATTTTGATTTTTTTTCTTTGATACCCTTTAGTATCCTCCACATAATGAGAGGATTATCAAACTTGAACCTCGAAAATTGGATTCAAATTGTTTATTTTGTTCAAAATTGTACTCTATTCGAAATTGTGTTAAATTTATCCTATGTAAAATTTATCTCATACTGTATACATATACTTACTTTTGAAGCTAAACTTTCTTAGGGATAACTTTGTAGTTACACAGGCACTTTAAAAACATCCTATAATAATAATAATAATAATATTACACAAATGGGAAGAATAAAAACATAAAAAATAAGAAAAAAATATTAAGTATCATTATTAATGTTAAAAAGAAACATTATTCTGGATACTTTTATATTTATTTCTAAATTTTTATGTTTTTAACCTTTCCATTCTGTGTAATATGTTAAGAAATTTACCAATGTGTACAACTATATATATAAAATTAAATAAGGATCAAATATAATAATACTGCGAACGATTTTATATTCTATGCCTTTTGTATTTATAATTTTAGATCCTTTAATAGTGAGTCTACGAGCACATCGGAAAATCAATCCAAGATGTTAATGAAAGAAAATAGAGACCCTCGCGCGAATCGTGTGACAAAAATGTTCGATTATCCCACGTAAGAGATGTTTATCTTTCACATATGTATATATGGGGCAAAATTTCCCAAGTGTACCCGCGTAAAATTGCGATGTCACCGATCTTTTTGTAACTTTGCTAAATTGTAGTACTAGTCGACCTCTTTAAATCCTGTAAAGGAAATGCCGCTAGTACAAATGGTTGCCAAGATGTAGGGGCTTGAATTTTTAGTTTTTACTCAATGTGTTCTATTTAAAAAAATCATATCTTCTTTCACACCTATCCAAACGAACTTTATAATGAGTGTTTTTTAAAGCTTTTTTCTTGGGCTTTGCAATAAAAAATACTATTTTGCATTAAAAAATTTTTATCATGTATATTTTTTAATTTTAAAAGTATTTTTCAATTTTTCTCATAATGCGACCCTTTTGATTTTTTTGAAACTAAAATAAAAAGAAAGCTTGACTTTTTCTCGTCAAAATCATGTAAGTTGGAATATGGGATGAAAAGAATTGGCGTCGATAAAAAACGTTTTAAGCGCGCGAGTATACCGGGCGCGTGTGGAATGGTCGCGGCGCGGCGCGGCGGTACAACGCCACCAGTTTCCACTTTGATTCCAGAGTCTTGTTTATACGCAATTTTTCTAATTTCTATTTTTCTGTCCCTCCCTTTCTCTACAAAAACATATTAATACGTGAGATTTCGTGGCATTAATTCACGTACGGTAGGTATAAGGTTGAGCGTGAGTGCAAGCTGAAACACATGTGCTCACGTATTTCCGCACTCGGCATTAC